CCACCCACCCACTCCCACACACACACACACATACACACACACATACGCTCGCCTGCTCCTCCCGTGCTCCCCCGCTGAGCCTTGCCCCCCCTACTCTTCCCCTGCTCTTCCCTGGAGCATCTCTGGACCCCTCCCCGAGCCTCTCCTCAACCCTCCCCCCCCCCTTCCCCCCTCCTCACCCCCCCCCCCCTCCTCCCTCCAGGTGCAGCCCCTCTCCCTCTCGGTCGGCCGCGGAGAGCTCGTCGGCGTCGCGGGGCCGGTGCTGCGTAGACTCTCTTCTCGGCTGCGCCCCGGCCGCACTGACGGGTGGCACGCACCGGGCTAGGTCGGCTGCGGCAAGTCGACGCTTCTCTCGGGGCTGATCGCAGAGGCGCCCCGCGCGACCGGCCGCGTCGCCGTGCGCGGTTCGGTCGCCTACTGCGCGCAGGAGTCGTGGATGAGCCGAGAGATCACCCGAGATCACGCGAGATCACGCGAGATCACGCGAGGTGGTGTGCCGCGCGCAGGAGCCGTGGATACAGAACGCGACCCTCCGCGACAACGTCACTTTCGGCGCGCCCTTTGAGCGGCAGCGGTACGACCCCGCCCCCTCGGCGCGCTGACGGCCTTCTCTTCGCTCCTCCACGGCCCTTCTGCTTGGCTGGCAGGTACGACGCCACCCTCGCCGCGTGCTGCCTCGAGCCCGACCTCGCCGCCCTCCCCTCCGGCGACGCGACTGAGATCGGAGAGCGGGGCACCGGCCTGTCGGGCGGGCAGACACTTCCGAGACACGTCCGAGACACTTCCGAGACATGTCAGGCATCAACCTGTCCGGCGGGCAGCGCGCGCGCATCGCCCTCGCGCGTGCCTGCTACCAGACGGCGCGCCTCTTGCCAACTCCGAGCCGTCCTTGAGCCCTTTCTTGACCCTTCCCTGACCCTTCCTCGACCCTTCCTCGACCCTTCCTCCGACCCCTTCCTCGACCCTTCCTCGAGCCCTTCCCTTCCTGCGGCCCGCGCAGGCGGATCTCTACCTCCTCGACGACGTCCTCTCCGCCGTCGACGCGCACGTGGCGCAACATCTCGTCGCCCGCTGCCTGCACGGCCTGCTGCGCGAGCGGGGGGCGACGGCGCGTCCTCTCGACACGCTACCACTTGCGCCGTCCCCGCGACGGTCGGTGACACCTCCCCCGCCGCGTCCCGACAGGTGGTCCTCGTGACGCACCACACCTGCCACCTCTCCGACTTCGACAAGCGCCCTCCTCCTCTCTCGGGGCCGAGCCGCGCCTCTTTCTCTCCGCCTTCGCTCATCGCGCGCCCCCCCTGTTCTTTGGTAGGCTCCTCCTCCTCGGGCCGAGAGGCGCCTGCCGCGGCTATGCCCCCCCGCGGGAGCTGCTCGGCGCGCTGCCCCGCTCCTCCTCCTCGTCGGTGGCGCTGGCGGAGATGGAGACGGCGCGAGCCGCGGCGGCGCCGCCGCCGACGCCCCGCGGGGGAGATGCGAAGGGAGGAGGCGGCCAAGGCGGCGCCACCGCCGGAGGCGCCAAGGCGGCGGGCGGCGGCGGCGGCGGCGGCGGCGGCGGCGGCGGCGGCGGCGGCGGCCAGGGCGGGAGGCTGATGACGAGCGAGGAGCGAGACAAGGGGCTCGTGAAGAGGTCCGTGTGGGTCACGTACGGGAAGGCGCTCGGCGGCGGCGCGCTGCTCGCGCTGTTGCTCGCGTACACTCTCTCGCAGGCGCTCAACCTGGGCGCCTCGTTTTGGCTCACGCAGTGGGCGGCCGACACGCTGCACCAGGGCTCCGACCCTTGGCTGTACGTCGCCGTCTACGCCGCGGCCTCGCTCGCCGCGGCGGCCGTCATTTGGGCGCGCGCGGTCGCGGCTGCGGGTGTCATGACTGGTGATGGCTCGCAGCGGGACGTGGTTGCCCATAGGTGCGCGTGGTCGTCGTTGCCCTCGCGTGCGTGCGAGCCGGCCGCCGGACGCACGAGGATGTCCTCTCGGCCGTCCTCGCGTCGCCCATGTCTTTCTTCGACACGACGCCGCTCGGCCGCATCCTCAACCGTTTCTCGACCGACTTGCAGGTGGCGGGCGTGCCTGCTGAAGACTCCTCGACCTCTCCTAGACCTTTCGTGGAGCCTTCCTGCAGGTGGTGGACGTGCAACTGCGGATGACGACGCAGGCGCGTTCGGCCTGGAGGAGGAGTGGCGCGTACTCCCTGCAGCCCGACCCTCCCCGGCACGCCCCCCGTAGGCACTCGGCCTCTGCGTCTTCAACCTGATCGGCACTCTCCTCCTCGTCGTCGCAAACGCGTGGCAGATCTCCTTCGGCCTCCTCCCGCTCGGCGTCGCGTACCTCGTCGTCGCGAGGTACTACCGCGCCTCGTCGCGCGAGCTGCAGCGGCTCGACTCGGTCTCAAAGTCGCCCATCTACGCCGCCTTCTCCGAGGCTCTGCAGGGCGCGACCTCCATCGTCGCCTTTGGCGCGACCCGCCGCTTCGGGCTCGAGGCGCGGCAGCGGCTCGACGCAAACATCAAGGTTGGCTTCGCGACGGCGGCGGCGAACCGGTGGCTCTCGGTGCGGCTTGAGGCCATCGGCAACGCCATCATCGCTGGCGTGGCCGCCCTCGCCGTCGGGCTGCACGCGGCGGCGCACGCGTCGGGTGGCGGCGGCGCAGCCATGGCGGCGGGGCTGGCGGGGCTCTCCCTCTCGTACGCCGTCTCACTGACGGACTTCCTCAACTGGGCGCTGCGCATGTCGACCACGCTCGAGACACTTCCGAGACATTTTTCGAGACACTTCCGAGACATGTCAGGCGCTGCGCATGTCGACCACCCTCGAGATGCAGATGGTCAACGTCGAGCGGCTGCTCTCGTACGCCGCCCTCGAGCCCGAGGAGCCTCGCGATCGGCTGCCGGGCGGGGCCGCCGCCGGCAAGCCGCCTCCCGCGCTGTGGCCCGCGCGGGGCGAGACCGTCCTCTCGCCGGCCAGCCACACGCCCTTCCTAGGCCCTCCCCACGCCTCGCCCGGAGCCCCTCCTGTAGGCGAGGTCGTCTTCTCGTCGGTCGGCATGCGGTACCGGCCAGGCACGCCCTTCGTGCTGCGCGGCTTCGAGCTCCGCGTCGGGGGCGGAGAGAAGGTTGGCTTGGTCGGTCGCACGGGCGCCGGCAAGAGCAGCCTGCTGGCGGCGCTCTTCCGGCTCGTCGAGCTGGCCGAGGGCTCCATCTCGATCGACGGCGTCGACATCGCGACCGTCCCGCTGCGCGCGCTGCGGCAGGCTCTGGCGATCATCCCGCAGGAGGCGACTCTCTTCAGCGGCTCGCTCCGCAGCAACCTGGACCCCTTTGGGCAGCACGCCGACGCAGACGTGCGCGAGTGCCTCGCCCAGTGCTCGCTCGAGGCGCTTTGCGGCGCGCACCCCGCCGGCCTGCTGCAGCCGATCGAGCCAAAGGGCGCCAACCTGTCCGCCGGGCAGCGGCAGCTCGTCTGCACGGCGCGTGCGCTGCTGCGCGGCTCGCGCGTGCTCGTCCTCGACGAGGCGACCGCGTCGGTCGACATGGAGACGGACGAGCTGATCCAGCAGACGCTGCGCCGCGTGCTGGGCGGCGTGACGGTGCTGACCATCGCGCACCGGCTCGCGACGGTGATGGACTACGACCGCGTCGTGGTGCTCTCCGCCGGCGCGGTGCTCGAGGCGGGGCCGCCGCTCGAGCTGAGGCGGCGGCCCGGTTCGGCGTTCGCCGCGCTGGTCGGCGACACTCTGGAGGGGGCGCAGGAGCGGGGCAACGGGGAGTAGGCAGTGTAGCTGAGTCGATAGCTGAGGGCGCGGGTCTCGGCTCGAGAGGTCATACAAAAGCACACAGCAACTTGGGGTGGCACATTTCCCGGCGGTGTGGTGCCTCATGGTCATGCGAGCTGATGACAGCTGTGGTCTGTGGAGCGTGCGACGGGGAAAAGAAAGAAGATCGGCGCGGCAAAGGCTGTCCTTTTTCTTTTCCCTCGCGTGTCGCGATATCCACCCCGCCCCCTCTACTCGGAGCTAGTGGTTACGACACTGCGGCGGTGCGTTTTTCTTTTTCTTCACACGGCCATCGCAGAGCAGATTGTGAATGTAGAATGAGCTTGCCTGCGGCGAGGGCGGTCGAGTGCACGGAGCTAAGTGCCTCGCCGTCCTCGCAGGAGTCTTAGGCGGCTCCCGTGGTGTACCTGTGTTAGTGCCAGTGCGCGCCATCCCGTGCCTAGTGTTAAGATTTTTCTGTTTTTCTTTTCCTCCCTTTAAATTCTTTTCCTCGCTACCTGTGTTCGTGCCAGTGCGCGCCAGTCCCGTGCCCAGTGTTGTGCGAGGGAGTTTTGTTGTAAGATTCTTTTCCTCTGTCGAGCCTGTCTGCTGTGAGAGAGAGTTGTTTTGTTTAAATTCTTTTCCTCGCGATACAACTTACATGCATGTGTGTGTGTTTATGTCCACCCCGCCGCGCCGCCGCTCGCGCCGCCTCGCCTCGTCCTCCGCTGCGCCCTCGCCAAGCGCACCGCCGCCCGCCCGCCTCCTCGACCTGCCCACGGAGCTCCTCCTGCGCGCCCTCTCTCGCTGCGACCCCGCCGACATCGCTCGCGTCGCGGCCGTCTCGCTGCTCTTCCACGCCTCGCTTGCGCTGGAGGGCATCCGCTTGTGGGCGCAAGAGCGCGGCTTCGAGCCGCCGGCGCAGCCCGAGGGCGAGAGCTGCGCCGTGCGGTGGCTGTGCTATTCGGCGCTGCTGCGCGAGTCCAACCCGCCGGCGAGGGCTGCGGCAGGCCGGCACCACAGCCTCTTCATCGACGGCGAGGGGCGGCTCTCGTCGTGCGGAACGGCTGAGGGCTGGACGCCGGGACTGCTCGGTCACGGCGAGGGGGTGGCGCGGCTCAACACGCCGACACGCCTCCCTTCCCCGCTGGGCGGCGAGCGCGCTGTGAGTGTGTCGGCTGGAGGCTTCTACAGCCTCGCCCTCGCCGCCGACGGTGCCGTCTGGAGCTGGGGAGGTGGAGGCTTTGGCCGGTTGGGCCACGGCGACCAGCAGCAGCAGTGGCAGCCGAAGAAGGTCGAGGCCTTGAATGGGCATCACATCGTCGCTGTCTCGGCTGGAGGCGGGTACAGCCTTGCCCTCACCGCCGACGGCGCCGTCTGGAGCTGGGGCCGTGGACACGCTGGCGTCTTGGGCCACGGCGACCTGCAGAACCAGCTGCTGCCGAAGAAGATCGAGGCCTTTGCTGACCAGCGCGTCGTCGCTGTGACGGCTGGTTACCAGCACAGCCTCGCCATCACCGCCGACGGCGCCCTCTGGAGCTGGGGCGATGGAGGCTTTGGCAGGTTGGGCCACGGCGACCAGCAGAGCCAGCTGCTGCCCAAGAAGGTCGAGGCCTTTGCTGGCCAGCGTATCGTAGCTGTGTCGGCTGGAGCATACCACAGCCTCGCCCGCACCGTCGACGGCGCCGTCTTGACCTGGGGCGAGCGCGGCTTCCTAGGCCACGGAGAGGACCTGTCGAACCAGCTGCTGCCCAAGAAGGTCGAGACGTGGGCGCAGGGGCAGTGAGAGGCCGCGCAGATGAACAAGGAGGGGATGCTCAGGCTTCTCGCGGCACTCTCAACGAGGAGAGGATTCGGTTCGGCGTCACGGCGGGGCCGAGCCCGAGGGTGGGTGCGGCGGCGGTGGCGGCGGAGGCGGCAGAGGACGAGGCTGGTGTTGGCTGAGGCCGTCGCGGAGGCGGCGACCGCCGAGGCGGCGGCGGAGGCTGCTAGGGCGGCGGTGGAGGCGGCGACCGCCAAGGCCAATCGCGAATCGGACAATCGGTCGGCCGTGGCAGCTCGGTGGGAGTAGGCAGTAGCCCGGGGGCGCCTTGAGAGACACCTTCATGGCGGTAGTTTGTTTTTCTTTTCCTGGTGTACCTGTGTTAGTGCCAGTGCGCGCCAGTCCCGTGCCCAGTAAAAGAAAGAAAACGGACAACCCAAGGGAGGGATGGGAGGACGGCACGCCGCCACCACACAGGGATTTTAAGGAGAGGGGTGTGATGCGCTAGCCGTCGCCCACCCTTGGGCGTCCGCCTCTTCCTATCTCTCTTCGCAGTCTCTCGCCGATTCTCGCTGCAGCCTTCATGCCACTGCCTTCCCTACTACCTGTAGTTCACTCGTCACCTCTCCCGCGAGCTCCCCTCTCTTTCTTTCGGGTATGGGGTCCGTGAGTGCGGGCAGCGTGCAGGCAATCACGGGCGCTATTTTGTCGTACTCCCCTTCGGCGAGCGCTCCGAATCTAGCAGACCCCATTGCCTTTAAGGAGGCTGCCCTCGCGCGTCTCAGGAATGTGGCGGTGTCTTTTGAGTCCGGCGCCGCCCGTTCGACTATTGCTGTCGCCCTCGCCGTGTGTTTGTCGAGCTTCCGCATGAAGTGACGCGCCTCTTCCTTATTTCCAGCGCAGCTGCCGCTCAGTATGTGCGCCAACGACGCCTGTGGTGGCTCACTGTCTTCTTGTTTCCAGTCGTCCCAGTCTCTCAGTTCTCCGAGTCTCCTCCTTGCCTCGCGCGCCTCTTTTGTGGCCTCATCCCTTGCCGCTTTGCACGCTCTGCATCCCCAGAACGCACTTCTCGTGGCGGGGCCCCTCCTTCCCCGTTTCTTTTCCCCCTATAGAATACGCCTGTGGTGTGCCCCATGTGGCACCCCGACCTGTTGTCTCACCCTGGCCCCCAAGATCGTTTTGGTCGTCACATTGTGGTCCCCGACGTCGTCAAAAGTCGCCCAGTGTTGTGCCTGGGAGTTTTGCAAAATTCTTTCCTGGCCGCGGCCGGAGGGGGGGGGAGGGGGGGAGGGAGGCGGAGGATGCAGAGGCGGAGGCGGCGGCGGCGGAAGAGGAGGAGGGGGAGAGTGAGGGGGAGGCGGAGGCGGGGGCACCCGCTACGAGAAGGGCGACTACCGGTTCGCGCGGGAGAAGAATTGCGACCTGCGTTTGCTCGACTTCTGCCCTCCGCCCGTCGCGACGCCGCTTGAGCCGATGCCTCTCGCGCACCGAGGCGGGAAGCCACCGCCAGCAGCAGAGGCAGCATGTGTAGGCTTCGCACCGGTCGGTGTACTCTAGAGGCATGTGCGGGGATGTGCGACCTCACGCATCTTGCTTTGGTATGTGGCGTCGAGTACAGTACTGTGGGTGTAGTTCGTCGCCCTTCCGTCATGTGCTGCGCGGTGGTTCTCGTTGGAGACCGGTGAGCGGTGTGTGATGTGTGTGCGTGGAGAGAGCACAGCGACCAGTGCTAGTACCTAGTAGACCGATCGCGGTCGCGCCGGTGGGGCCGATCTTGTTCTCGCCCACGTTCAAGGAGGTCAGCACCCCGTTGACCGCGAGAGCGCCGCCGATCGCCTTGGCGCCCTCGTCGCCGATGTTGTTGCGAAAGAGGTCGAGGTTGGTCAGCACCCTGCTGAAAAAAAGAAAAACATGGGGATCTACCCACTCAAAAGAGCACTCGCCGCGGGATGGAGCGTAAACCCTTCCCGCCCGCTAACCGCATCTCGAATCGCTTCCGCGCCCTCGTCGCCCAACTCGTTGTCGCCGATGTAGAGGACTTTCAACACCCCGTTGACGCGAAGGGCGGATGCTAGCGCCTTGGCACCCTCCTCGCCGATGTGGTTGCTCGTGAGCACGAGGTTGGTCAGCACCGCGTTGACGCGAAGAGCGGATGCCAGCGCCTTGGCGCCCTCGTCGCCGATGATGTTGTCGGAGAGGTTCAGGTTGGTCAGCACCCCGTTGACTGCGAGAGCGCCGCCGATCGCCTTCGCGCCCTCGTCGCCGATCTCGTTTACGCCGAGGTCGAGATTTTTCAGCACCCCGTTGCCGCGCAGTGCCTCGGCGATCGCGGCGGCGCCCTCGGCGCGGATGTTGTTGCCGTAGAGGTCGAGGCTTTTCAGCACCGCGTTGCCGCGCAGCGCCTCGGCGATTGCGGCCGCGCCCTCGTCGCGGATGTTGTTGTCGCAGAGATTCAAGTTGGTCAACACCCCGTTGACGCGAAGAGCGGAGGCCAGCGCAGCGGCGCCCTCGTCGCCGATGTAGTTGCTCTGGAGCACGAGCTTGGTCAGCACCTTGTTGGCTTTCAGCCAGAGAGCAATAGTCGCCGCATCTCCAGGACCGACTCTATCAGCAATAGTCGCCTTCGTCAACTTCAACGAGGACTTATCGTCAGAGTAATCGCCTCGTTGCTGGAGAAGCAGCTCCACGTCGGCTTCTACCTGCGCCATCTTTGGATCCGCCACACACTCGTGCACTTGCACCACCCCGTCGTCCTCCTCGTCGCCCTCCTCCTTCTCTCCACTGAAAAGCCCGAGTACCACATCGTAGAGCGCAAACGCCTTGCGTCCGTAGGTGGCGAGCAACTTGAGCAGCCCCAGGGCTATGTTCAGAATGTCGAGCGCCGCCGAGTGTTCCACAAAGTAGGACGCGTCGATTTCCAGATAGCGCGACATGTTGGCAACCGCCTCAACCACCTCCCTCACAGGCGCTAGCGGGTCCGCTGCGATTTCGGCCAGGCGCGCGACAACCTCTTGCGTTGCCCCCAACGGGTCGCCCGTGAAGGCGACCATGTCCGCCATCACACTGTCGAGAAAGGGCTGCAGGCCAGACACGTCGAGCTGCAACTTGGCGAGGAACGCAAAGGAGTCGGCGTAGCAAATCTGTGCGTGCCAGATGATGCCCTCGATGTACGAGTCGTTCTGCGAGGTGAAGAGGATGGCAATGCCGAGCGCGAGGAGGAAGGGGATGACGTAGATGGTGAGGAGCACGTTGCGGCGTGCATCACTTGTGAGTGGGAGATAGATCCCGCCTTCATCGCACCTTTCGACGAGGAGCTTGCCCCGCAAACGGTCCACAGCAAACAGCACCACGGGCATGGCAACCAGGAGCCACAGCATCCATAGCCGTGCCTGCACCGCCTCCACCACGCTGTCCTCGACATCGTAATCGGGTTCGAGCCGTCCTTGGTCCGCGGCCCACGTGCCGTATGCAACCAGTGGGGAGAGCGCGAGGCAGCCAAGCACGCAAGCCATTCCGCCTGCCAGCGTTGAGAGGCTCGTCTCAGTGTACGCCAGCCCCTGCACCACCATTGACATGCTGCTGGACAGCTTGAGGCTTCCGAGTGGGGCGAGCCAGCTGATGGCCGGCTTGGTAGCAGCCGCCGCGGTCTTGGTCAGGGCCTCGACCCGCTTGCAGCGAGTCCAGTTCATTTCATCTGTCGAAGCAATCAGATCGAGCGACCGCCTCCCGGCGGCAAAGCTTAGCTTGGCAAACGCAAAGAAGAGGACGCCAAGAGGCAGGTAAACAAGATTTGGCAGGATCGGCAGGGCGAGGAGACCGCCAAGGGTGATCTTGGCGATTGTTGCGCGAGACAGCGAGGCATTCCCTCGCCTGAATCCTCCCGTGAACGAGCCCACAGCTGCCGCAACCAGCGCGGCCGCCCACGCGGCGACCGGACCACCAAGCCACCCGCCGACTGTCCCCAGGCAGATACCATACAGCGCCCACCGTGAGATGAAGTAGAGCACGCTCGCAATCGGGATCGGCTGCACGAGGCTCGTCTTGGTCTTACTCGCCTCCTCCTTGAAGTCAACCTCGTTCATGTTGCGCCCAATGAAGACGAGCCCGCCGAGCGACAACAGGTAACCGTAGATGACGAGAAGGATCAGCTTGCTGAGGAGCGCTGGCTGCGCCGCAAACGTGACCATCGCGAACTCGTCCAGCAGCGTGGAGTTGTCGACCCTGACCATGCAAGGCGCGGTGCGCTCGTACACGCCGAAGAAGGCGACAATCTGCATACCCAGGGAAATGCCGACCACAAAGAATTGGCACAGCTGTGTCACAATCCAAGAGAGCCAGAAGACGGTCCCAGTCCAGTCGATCCTGCGGTCAATGAATCGTGGCCGCGGGATGCCGCCGATCTGAGCCAGCGAGTAGAGGAAGATCGTGGAGAGCCAGAGCCTCACAAGCGAGTCGACGCGCAGTGGTGCGAACATCTGGTCTGCGAAAGCCTCGGCCACGTACGCGTCGCAGGGATCGCCCGTACCGTTGGCAAGCAGGCACTCGAAGTCGAAGAAGGTGGGAGCGAAGGCGTTGCTGAAACCGAGAGACGCGCCGTCTCCCTCCGTTGCGATTTCCTCCTCTTCGGCTTCAACCTCCTTGAGCCCATCGGCCGTCATCGTGTGCATGACCCCCTCTAGGACGGCCGCACTGGCGTGGTAGATCTGGCATGAGCTGCTGATTCTTGGTAGGGGTGGCGGGGGAGAAGGGGGGTCGAGCCGCGGCTGAAACTCAGATGTGCGAGGTGCGAAACCGTTCACTTGCAGCATGATGACGAGGAGCATACCAGCAAAGGCGGAGCAGCAGGTGTTTGCCGTGAGCAAAGTTGCGAGGAAGCCTTTCGTGATCGAAATAGACCCACCTTTCGCGGCCGGTCCCAAAGAGGCGCCGTTTTCGATATCGGGTTCGGTCAGCTTCTGATACCCCATTGAAGTAGTTGCCGGAATCACTTCATCGTCCTGTGCCTCAGACGACATCGGACGGCGGACCTGCGAGAGGGCGGGGCAGCGGAGTAGTGAGCGGGACGGGCCGGCATGTGGCGAGCGGTTTTGCAAAGTCATGCAGACGAGTGCTGCTGGGCGAGCTCCGAGTCTGGATAGAGCGACGGCTCACTCTTCATGTTTCACGACGATGGGATCACGGCAGCCCGGGCCCGAGCCCAGAGGGGGTGGTGCGCGAGCGCTGGCGAAGCGACGCACGCGCTGGTGCTGTGCTGCACACGTTCCGAGTACTCGCGGCAGCGAGCTGCTACGGCTGGTCGGCGCGGCTTGCTAGGATGTGCGGCTTTGCTTCGGGGCGGAGCGCGCCTCTGTAGGAGCGCTGCTTGAGGCCCAAGGTAGTACTCAAGGGTTGTTCGGCGGAAGAAGACACGCCCGGCTCCGAGAAGTATTTCTTTTTCTTCTTTTTCCTTCACGTAAAGAATGGCCCTTGTGTGTGGGTGAGTGAGTGAGTTCTTGACACGTGCCTTCCTTGGACCACCAAGAATTGGCTGGGGCTGCAGAAGCAGCGTATCTCGGGAAGCCTACTCGTATTGTAGCTCTTAACCTGGGGTCGCTACCTACTCGATGTCGCAGGTTCTCGCGTCCAGCCAGGCGGTCTACGACTTTGAGGTGATGCGCAGCGACCACGTGGTGGGCATGACCCTCCGCAAGTCCCGCCCGATCACCCCATCTTGCGACCGCGCGCACGGATCGACTTGCTGCGAGTGGATTCGGTGCGTGACTCTGCTGGGCTCGGACTCGACCTCAGCCCGTCCAATGTGGTGCGCGACATCAGCCGCGGCGGGGCTTCGGAGCGGACCGGGCTGCTACAGCCGGGCGATGTCATCATCGCCGTCGACGACGAGCCGCTCGGAGCAAAGAGCGTGGCAGAGGCGCACATCAGCCACGGCCCCGAGACGTCGCTCACCATCCTTCGCGCCGAACCGCTGCGCGTTTCCTCTATCTCCCTCGCTCCGCCGCCTTTCCTGCGGCTGCACCTCGAGAGTGATGCCTCGAGCACCGCCCGCTCCTCTCCCGCCCCCGAGCTAGACCCGCCGCCGGCGACTCTGCCGACGACAACAGCGACGGCCGCACGGGAGCCGGCCACGACGCCCGCGCCTACGCTCGGGCCGACGCGCGCACTTCCTCCCATCGTGATGGGCCTTGGCTATTTTTTGTTTGAATCCCGGAGGCCGTTCGAACATGACGTGGCGTTCCACGTGCCCGTCCCCAGCAAGGACAATATGCTAGCCCAGCAGGCCGCTCCCACCGCCGCCCGCGGCGGAGGCAAGGCGGCAAAGGGTGGCAAGGGCGGCGGCAAGGGCGGCGGCAAGGGTGGTGGCCGTGTGGCGCACCAGACCCACTTTGCGCCGCCGCCCTCAACGCCCGATACTCGGTTAGAGCCGGCGGAGCGACGGCAGCAGAGTTGCGGCCGCCCCTCACACGAAATAAACTCAAAGGTCCACCACAGCCACCACCCTCCGCCTCCACCGTCGAGCCGCGATCGCTGCCGCCCGCGACGCCGCCCGCCGCGTCAGATGCCCGCGACGCCCGCGGCGAGTCGAGTCGGAGAGCCGAGCCGCACCAGCAGCAGCATCTGCACCAGCAGCAGCACCACCAGCAGCAAAAAAAGGCGGTGGGGGGGTTTATCAAGTTGGTGCCGGCATCGCGAGCGGATGTCACCTCGCGACCCACGAATTGAAACCAGGGAGGGGGGAGGTTGCGTAAAATTGTCACTCGCCATGCGCGTCCTTGGCTGACCCTCCAAAACTCCCTCCCCGCCGTTCGCGGCTCGGCTTGCGTATGCGGCTGGGAGCTTCGAGGACATGCAGGCGTCCCGCCCCTTCCGGCCATCCCCCCGGCTCCCAAGCGCGCGGCCGCGACGCGCTGCGCACCCTCTTCCACGCTGCGCCCGCTCTCGGCATGGCCGTCGTCCGCCGAGATCACCTCCTCTTCGCGCCGCAGGTGTGCACAACCAAGGGCTGGCCACCTCCGTATCCATCATGATGAAGCCAATGGGCCAAATCGGACTCCGCTCCCCTCCCAGGTGGCCGGAGGGTACACCTCGGGTCGGCGTGCTGGGGGGGGCGCCGGTGCGCAAGCCCACTTTCCGGGCGACCCCGAGGGGGAGGAGGCCGGGCGAGTGGCAGCAACTCATTGTTAGTGTCCCGGACCGCTGCGGCACCGTTTATACGGCCCCTCGTGATGTCTTTCCGATTTTGCATTGTGAGTCGTCCTGGCCAGCCGAGGCGCGAGGGGCGCCAGAACGGCATGTGTACTGGTGCTGGGTGCCGAACGGGCTTTTTTTAACTCGCAACCAACTATACTACAAGGACACCCTCAGGGGGGACACTCGGCGCATGTGCGTCACGTCAGGGTGGACGGTGGCGGTGGCCGAGCGTCGTCTCCCGCGATTGACTCGCAGCGCGGAGTCGAGGGGTGAACTGAAGCGCGTCGCGCTGCGACGCTCGATACTGACGTAGCCGGCGGGATAGCCGTGGGGCGCGGCCGACTTTGAAGTCCTCGTACCTCGAAGATCCGGTGCGCATTCGTCCTCTGAGACCCACGCGTACAGGAAAGGGGCGAGAGCGCGGCCATTCTCCATTGACAATCTAAGCGGCAACCTTGATTGAGCTAGCCCGTTCCACACCGAGTGCCTGTCCGCTCTGACGTGGTTTTCCTGCTCGCGTGCGTCGTGGCCAAGGTTTGGGGTCTCGAGACTCGAGGCGTTGATGTTTTGAAAACAGATAATAGAGGCGCTTTTTGATAATACAACAGTCACACACGAGATACGATCTCAAGTGCGTGTGCTCACAGACAAGCTCTCGCAGTGGCAGTGCAGATGCATCTGCGCTGCGCCCCGCGGCCGGGTTCACGTAGTAGTATATTTCGCCCGCGCCAGCGCCGCCGCTCAGTCCACCTCCTCAATGTTCGGGCCGCCGCCGCCGCCGCCGCCGCCGGGCATGCCGCCGGGCATGCCGCCAGGCATGCCGCCGGGCATGCCGCCCATGTCGCCGCCCGCGCCCTGCGAGTACATCGCCTGCATGATGGGCGAGCAGATGCCCTCGACCTCCTTCTGCTTGTGCGAGAACTCCTCCTTCTCGGCGAGCTGGTTGCCCTCGAGCCACTTGAGCGCCTCCTCGACGGCGTCGAGGCCCTTCTTCTTGTCCTCCTCCGAGATCTTGTCCTTGACCTTGTCGTCCTCGAGCGTGTTCTTCATCGAGTAGCAGTAGTTCTCGAGCCCGTTCTTCGCCTCCACCTTCTCCTTGAACTCCTCGTCCTCCTTTGCGTACTTCTCCGCGTCGGCCGTCATCTTCTCGACGTCCTCCTTGGAGAGGCGCGACTTGTCGTTGGTGATGGTGATCTTGTTCTCCTTGCCGGTCGACTTCTCGAGCGCCGACACGTTGAGCATGCCGTTCGCGTCGATGTCGAACGTCACGTCGATCTGCGGCACGCCGCGCGGCATCGGCGGGATGCCCGACAGGTTGAACTCGCCCAGCTTGTTGTTGTCCTTGGTGCGCGAGCGCTCGCCCTCGAAGACCTGGATGGTGACGGCGGGCTGGTTGTCCGAGTAGGTGGAGAAGGTCTGCGACTTCTTCGTCGGCACGGTCGTGTTGCGCGGGATGAGCACCGTCATCACCTCGCCCGCCGTCTCGAGGCCGAGCGAGAGCGGCGTCACGTCGAGCAGCAGCAGGTCCTCCGTCTTTGCCGAGCCAGTGCCAGAGAGGATGGCAGCCTGCACGGCGGCGCCGTACGCGACCGCCTCGTCGGGGTTGATCGACTTGGACGGCTCCTTGCCGTTGAAGAAGTCGGTGAGGAGCGAGACGACCTTGGGGATGCGAGTCGAGCCGCCCACCAGGACGACGTCGTGCACCTGGCCCTTGGACATCTTCGAGTCGCGGAGGCACTTTTCGACGGGCTCCATGGTGGAGCGGAAGAGGTCCATGCAGAGCTCCTCGAAGCGGGCGCGCGTGATGGAGGAGAAGAAGTCGATGCCCTCGAAGAGCGAGTCGATCTCGATGGAGGTCTGCGCGGATGGGGAGAGCGGGGGGGGGGGGGGCCGGCCCCCCCCCCTTTGGGGGGGGCCCCTCCCGGTCTTTTAATTTGGCTGGGACGGGGACGACTACTTTTTTTATTTTCAAACCGAGAGAGGATTCCGCCCCCTCCTTCTTTTTTACAAGAGACATCAACAAGTTCTCCCCTGGGAAAAAGACCATGGTCTCGCCCTTGATTTCAAACTGGAAAAGGGGGCGGGCCCCCCC